CTTAAACTTATACCTGTAGCATGACATCGTCCCAAACGTCCTCTTGTTTCTAGTTAAAATAGTACCTCATAGATTCCATCTTACTTCTACTAAAGCAAAAATTCTTTGATTTCAATGTTTATCACCAAACTCAAGTTTAGAGTCAACCTCTTCCCTAGATTTCTCCATAAAAAATATAAGCATACATTTAGAGATACTGTCAGCATTTTTCAAGCCAGCCATTATGCACCGTTATCTTGTACAGGCTGATCAAGGCTATGATTGGATAAATTTCTCTAAAAGTACTATTAAAAAAAGAAAGTATTAATAAAAAAATGAAATGAAATCTATTAGCTAAAATTAGCTTGGGTAAAAACTAATTTGTAGAGGCTCTCATCTTACATATAAAATGTTTATGGAAAAGCCAAACAGACTCTAACTACAAGTAAATAGATTAAACAGCTGGCAAGAGATGTAACAAAAGGTTTGCATAAATTCAAGAAAAGTTGTCAAGATAATCCTTCAATTCTGATAGGCGAGCACAAAAAACACTTAAATAACTGCATCTAAGTTTTGTCCCTCTGTCCTAATTTTCCNTCTTTCTAAACAAAACTGGTCAAGTGTTTACCTACCAATTTACTCTAATCCTGTAACATTAGACGGGTGCTAATTAATGGTTGACACCATTGCATTTATTATTTGTATAATGAAATTTTCACTTATGTTTTTTTATCCTAAAAGAATTCCTGTAAACATGGTATCATCTGCTGAAGAGCCATAACCCACAAAAACCAGCCATACTGCATGATCTTCTTCTGCATGTAGTGGCATCAACTCCACAATCTTCGTCTGTCAAACACCTGAAGTCACTACGAGCATCGGGGATGTGGCAAGCACTCTCAATATGTTGACCTGACTTTAAATTCAAAGCAGGACACACTTGCAGAGACATTGCGCTGATTCGACTCACTCTTGGTTGCCTCTGCACAGTAAGATAAAAATTCAGTTTTTAAGTGTTTTGTGTAGTTCACGACCACACAACTTCTTGAAAGTCTTGTTTTCTTTTCTAAGAAAACAAAAATCAATAAAAACAGTAGTAGACTCTATTTTGTAGTGCCAGCTAGGAATATTTTAAGAGTTTTTTTTTCAGCATCATGTGCAAATGAAATGGAAGAAACAGAAATAAAAAAATGTGTTGCTTTGGGAAGATTGTATATAAAGGCCATCAATTTCGACCTATTTGCAAAGTGCCATCAAGAGCTCTAAAATTGTTTGAATTAGTCCTAAACTACAACAATTACACTAATGGATCCTTTCACCCCACCTGTCAACGACCCAACATGTATCCTATGTGATGTCTTCATTAATTTTCCAATTGTTTAGTGATATTAAAACCTTAAACTTATACCTGTAGCATGACATCGTCCCAAACGTCCTCTTGTTTCTAGTTAAAATAGTACCTCATAGATTCCATCTTACTTCTACTAAAGCAAAAATTCTTTGATTTCAATGTTTATCACCAAACTCAAGTTTAGAGTCAACCTCTTCCCTAGATTTCTCCATAAAAAATATAAGCATACATTTAGAGATACTGTCAGCATTTTTCAAGCCAGCCATTATGCACCGTTATCTTGTACAGGCTGATCAAGGCTATGATTGGATAAATTTCTCTAAAAGTACTATTAAAAAAAGAAAGTATTAATAAAAAAATGAAATGAAATCTATTAGCTAAAATTAGCTTGGGTAAAAACTAATTTGTAGAGGCTCTCATCTTACATATAAAATGTTTATGGAAAAGCCAAACAGACTCTAACAACAAGTAAATAGATTAAACAGCTGGCAAGAGATGTAACAAAAGGTTTGCATAAATTCAAGAAAAGTTGTCAAGATAATCCTTCAATTCTGATAGGCGAGCACAAAAAACACTTAAATAACTGCATCTAAGTTTTGTCCCTCTGTCCTAATTTTCCCCCCTTTTTCATATTATGAAGTAAAAAAAGAAGTAAAAGTATATTTTAAAGGATATATTTATAAATTATCAGGATGGAGGCTAATATTTTACCAAAACACTCTTCAGTTAGAGTACCCAACAGCAGGTGGATGGAAGGATCTAATGACGTAATTATGGTTTATAAAGGCTTTTGCAAATGAGGAAAACTTCAGGAGATTTATGACACTTTTTTCATTTATCTATACAAGCAAAACCAACAAGCACTACAGTAAATTGTAAAAATACCTTCACAAAAGTCCAATTAGTTGGAACATAAGCTTCTGGAAGCTCTTCATGCCAATTGCTGAGTAACGGAAGAGGATGACCTTCAGTTGTAAATACGTAATTATTGTCATGTACAAACGAATCGTCAAACAGAAGATATAAATATTTGCACCTGAAGAAAACACAGGATCTAATCAGAAAATCTGAAATACAATAATTACTTGAGAAAAATTCCCATTTGCTTTTGTTTCATAATTTTTAACCTTAGCATTATGAAAGAGGAAGAAAAGGTCTCACGTTTCAGCAAGAAAAAAACTATGCTGATGATCTTCCAATTGCATAGTTGTCACATCCTTAATGCTTGCAAAACCACCTTCAACTTTGGTGTATAAATTAAGGGAATTCACTATTGATTCACCGACTTCAATATACCATGGATCTGAAATTAATAATGGTTGAATATATCATTATTGGTCAGGTAGGATTCTCTTTATTGATGTTATAGAGATTAAATTTAAAAGATAATATATTTAGTAAAATCGAATATCTATGATATTGTTATGATGTTGTGTTGATAGAAAATACCAAGATAATACTCATTTTTATAATAAAGTTCAAGGTCAAGTACTAATGTATTACAGCATGAAGAAGCCTAGCTGCCAGATTATTTGACTGAAATGTTGCTGTATGCTAATAGCTTTCTTGTTAAATTTAAAGTTTGAAACCCTTTCTATCATGGAAAAAAGTATTTACATGTACACCACTCTTTTCAAGAGCATACTATTTTAGAAGCAGTTGAACCTAATGCCTCAATATCAACAAACATAAAATAAAAAGGTGGAAGAACTAACAGACCTTTAGTAGCTTGATATAAGTAGAATGTTGACTCAGCCAATTCAGGACGTAAGGGATAATATTTTTCAGTAGGATGAATCATCTGGTGGTCCAGCAAATACCTTTTACACGGATTTGGATTTATGATTCAATGTGATACATATATTATATAGTACTGTAAGAACAAAAACCAGATTACAGATTGATGGCAAAATCAGAGAATACCTCTCTGGTAGCACTCCGTATCTCTTCCACACATGGAAGAACTCACGGTGAGAGGAATTAGCAGCCATAACATCCCCAATAAGAACCTGCTCTCCAGAAGTCATATGCAATTACAAACTCAGAAAGATATCAAACCTAATTTTTAAGTAAAATTCGAAGTCCAGCTACTAGCCTGTAGGCCAGGCCAAAATGCTTGAAGGCTTGTAAGCTGCCAATAAGTTGCTCTTCCAGTCCTCATATCGGCTTCATGGTACCTGCATTAGGCCAACCAGTCCAGGTTACAAATGTTGATCACATTCTCCCATCAGCACCTTTCTAGTACTGTATAAAAGTACAGTTTAGGCAGAATAAACAAAAAGCAAAGACTTTCTTAACAAGTGTGATACCAAGCACCGTGTCTGAAATATTTCTGCGCAGCAACATAAGCAGAGTGAAACATCTTCCAAAAGTCCTCCTTCCCAAAAAGGATATGGGCTTTGAGAAGATACTCGTAGAAGGAATCAACCCCTAAAATAACCCAGGAAATAAAATCCAACAAAAGAAACATGAAGGCCAGTCATTAGCATTTGAAAGTTTAGAATAACTAAATTTATCAAATACTTTCAACAGACAATAAACATGTAGATTATATGCTGCACTATCCAATTAGCCAAACTAGTGAGAATATCCCTGGTGGGTCAGAGTTAACTACCAGCTCCAATTCCTGATGAATATTCGATCCATTGCCCAGTTGCCACGTCCAATGTGGTTCCAAATAGTTTTAATGAGCTCTGCATACTCCACAGCTTGCGAAGAGCACGTAAAGCTACTGATTCGTATATGGGGTCGCCAGTCATTTTTGATAAAGCACCCATTTCAAGAATCAGGGAACCTGCATAAAGAAGGAAAATTAGAAGCAACTTAAATCATTTTACTATACCCTAGTCTTAAAACACTAAGCTAGACCTCTCACCACACCCTGAAGTGCTTGTTTCTGTAGTCTCATTCTCCATTACTCCATACTGTGTACAGAATATTTTGCATTGGTAGGGAGTTATATATCATTTTAAAAGAGTAAAAAAAGTTTAAAGAAAATGCAAAAGACCACAATCTATAATTTTTTATGTCTAAATATTTGAATTAACATGGTTCAGGTACAAGATTAACACCTTATAATCTAAAGTCTTTGATGTATGCATAGATGGGAGAATCACATACTCCAAGCGAAAATCTGACCAAACTAATTCCATTCAACAACTTTTCTATGAGCATTAAATGATTCAACAGTTGGATCTAATGTTCTCTTTACATATATCAAGTCTACAGAATTATTTGCAATTTAAAAACTAATTATTTCTCTATCAGTAAACTTTATTTTAAAGTATAATATACTTTATAAATAAAAGTAAATGTTGCATATAGAAATGAATATATATCCATCTATTATGGCATTTAGAGGAATCATCTCATGGCCCCAACTGGTGATCTGGCACAGAACTGTAAAAGTTTAACCATTTTTATTCCATCAGAATCAATGTAGTAAAGAACAAAAGAGATATAACCTTGTTAGAATATTTACTCTATTTATCATGATTATATTGTGTCTAGGGTTACCCTATATATCATGATTATATTGTGTCTAGGTTACCCTATTTATCATAATTATATTGTGTCTAGGTTACCCTATTTATCATGATTATATTATGTCTAAGTAACCCTAATTATCATATACTCTTGTATCAATTTATTTTTATAAATAGAAGATTATGAGAGGGATCAATTAAGCTCTCAAGAATTATTTTACAGTTTCAATCTCAAGTTAGTATCAGAGCAGGTTGTGTGAGTCTCTTCCTACTTTGTCTTTGTTGCCGCCGGTGGCCAGCGCTGCCACCGGCGGCCTTAAAAATTTCATCTTTTCTTAAATACCTCAATGAGCAGTCCTGTTTTGGTTTCTATCTAGTCTCCAAACCATAGTTGTTCTCCGCAATTGTCCGACACTATTTGTTGCTGTCTGGCACGGTTTGCCGCTGTCTGGTGCCGTTTGTCGCTGTCTGGTGCCATTTACCGTTGGCACTATTTTTCCACTATGAGGAGTTGTCCACGTAAGTTTGTCACCATCAACCTCTATTTCTTGTCATTCCGACGCCGTCCGCTAATGCCCGCCACCGACAACCGCCACAGTTCAGTCTAGCAACCAATGGATCTGGATTGCCTCCTTGAGCCATGGTCAACCCTGTCTGTGTCAAGGGTTAGTTCTCATCCAAGCACCGCCACGTGCGCCACATCTGTTCAATCTCCGTCGCCGATGCCGTCTTGTTTTCTCTGGCGTAGTTAGGAGTTTTGAGCGCATCGAGGAGGGCGACCCATCCCTAGTAGTTGCCTCATTCTCATCCACACGTGCTGTCATGCACGCCTTCTCTCCGATAAGCTTTCGGCGCGTGTTTGTCACATGCCACCTTCCCGGTGTCGGAATCACATCGCGTCACTGTCGTTCGTCTTGCTCGACCAAATAAAAAAGGCAAAAAGAAAAACTCTCTGTTTCAACATTTTACCTCTGTTTCAGCATTGTTCCTTAGCCGCTTTCATAATGTGTGTTTAGCTTTGCATATTGTAGCAGCTGTGATGTTTCTGATGGCTTGTGTCATTTATTTACAAGTCTCCAAGGAGAGTCAGTGCTATTAGTTGGCTAACACCAAGGAATTTCAACACCAAAGTCATAGGTTGAAGGTTCCTCATGGCATGAGGAGAGTCTATTTCTATCAAGATTCAGAATCTTAGTCAAACAATTTCATCAGTCCCTGTTTTTGGATCCTTTGCTGAATAAATGAGCCCATTATGATCTTCCACCTTCACGATTTGTCATCAACACGTCGTCATTTTTGTCGTTTATCGTGAGGGGAAGTATGTTTCCAGCCACTGCAATATGTTTCTAGCCACTGCATGCCCCATCAATCAGTGATGGTAGTCCCTGCAGTTTTGTCCTCTCAGTCACTGCAGGCCCCCATCACCTCGTCAGTCAGTGATGGCAGTCCTTGTAGTTTTGTCGCTTCCAGCCACTACAGGCCCCATCAGTCAGTGATGGCAATTTAGTCCCT